GAGTTCCGTAGGTGACCAATCGATAACTCCGAAGCTGTAGTTAAGGACAGGAGTGGCAAGGCTGTTGAGGGGAGAGATCTTGTTTTTGCCGGACAGCTCGGTCTTTAGTACGAGGCGGACTTCGTTTGTATTCTGTCGTCAGTCTCTGCTTCGTGCGTTTGACAGCCACGGAAGAGTTCTCTTCCACACCGAGGTACTTATAGGTGTCAGGGGCTGTAAGCTCTCGGAGTTGTTCGTCGTTGGTGGTGGTGATATCTCCCATAGGAGATATCACCACCGCGGAGTCCTATATATATACAGTATATACATATATATATATAGACAAGGTTGAAAGCCCGTGTACACACGGGAGGTGTTTAGTCAATGAATTTCGATTTTGATCACTGGATTATTAATGCAGGAGAAAAACTTTCTAAATGAAGAGTCACGGTCGACCCCTTAAGTGGGGAATTTCTCGGACAGAAGCACACAACCGCAGTCGGAAAATACTTTCCCGAAAAAGCAATTGGTGTTTTTGAAGGAAAAGTATCATTCTTTTCTCGAGTTTAACCTCATATTTCCAGTTTTGAATTCACGTTGAACTCGAACTTGAAATACAGCAGGACGAAAAAAAAGGAAAACTCTCCCGATGAGCATTTCACCATACAGACGTCATACCCACCAAGAGGGTTGCACACACTTCGGAACTGCCGTCAAGACTCAGGTCATGCCCGATCCCTTTACCGCTGATCGTATTCGGTATCTGTCTCACCTGCTATGCGTACGCGGGAACGTTCGACCTCGGTTCTCGAGAGGAATAGACATCAGTATGACTCCCACGCACTATTCCCATTCCATCACGATCATCGGCGCAAGGCCATATTTCCTGTCAACATTTTTGTAGCAATTTTTGTAGCAATAATTTTTCTCAGGAAAAAAAAATGAAAATATAAGTCGAAAGGTATATATATATAAGAATATAAGTCGATATAAGTGAAATATATGTCTGCAATGGTCCCAAAGTGGCAGCACTATGACGCACTCAGACAGACACAGGCAATTATCGGTCTCAACTGCATCCTATATGGCAATTTCTTACAGGGTGGTTCACCGGACAAGGTCCGGTCGGGCAGCTGTGGCTGTCCCGTCCTTGTCGTCATCCATGTGAAATCTACTTTTGGCTGCCTCCGGGATATACTGTACTGGGAAGAGTTGGATTTCAGAGGAGGAGCCAAAGGAACAGTATGGAGCAGTCCAGGATCGAACCCAAGGCCTCATGACTGCTGGTCTACTGTGCTACCACTACACCACCGAACCCCCTTCGTCCAGTCGTACCTCTCCATGCCATCCCTAACGCTATAACGGGAGACAACCACCCGCAAATCACTCCCGAAGCTCCCACTCCCCAGGCCCAGCCCATGCTCGATATTTTCTACAAGCCAGTACCCGGTCACATGACCTGACATGAAGATATTGGGAGGTACTGAAGATGCATGCAATCTCCATGATGATTAGGTCACGATGGAATGGCGGTACTCCATCGTCCCTGAAGAAAATACCTGGAACTCGCTAACACTGGGGGCATTGTAGAACCGTTGGTCATCGCGGGGGTCCCTACGAAAGACTATTTTCACGGATTGGACCTGTTGTCCTTCTTCGTGAGCTCTTGACTCTTTCAGAAGTTCGATTTCGTGCATCCGTTTGTAGGACTTGATGACTGATGACTTCGATCAATTTCAACATGTGAGGGAGACACTTCGTTTTTTTTATGATTCTGTTCGTGTTTCTGAAGCCCTCCATGAGTCGAACGCATAGAGCTGCCCATGCTTTGTGGTTTTATCCACCTCAATGGTTTATCAGGAAGGTGAACTGCCTTGCTAATTCCATGTACCCGGGAAATTATGCAAATTCCTTTGCAAGTCAAGGTATTGCAGAGACAATTAAATCAAAAGACCCATCGTATGAACAGCGAAGTTCAACAGGGATTGAAAGGGAGAAATACGTCACTTGATTGTCTTCTGCGATTCACTCCGACGCGTCGACGGTGTCGGAAAAAAATTAGACTCCATGTTTCTTTTCTTTTATTCCTCTGTTAAAAAGGGATAATCTGGAACACGGAAGATGAAAACTCACAGCGGATTCTTCGTCGGAGGGATTTGGATTCACGAATGCTAAACGAACTCCGTGAACGGTGATTCCCAGAGCAGAAACCTGACAAAAGAGAATCACGCACAGACTTTGCAGTGCCTTTCTCCCCTCGCCATCACCACCCAGACTGACGGGCTCCATCCCTGGCTGTCGAGACCCCCTCTGTAGTGGCTGCCGCGGGACCTCCCGCTTTCACCGCGGGACTTCCGGATCGCTGTAGTTCCATACCAATGCGCGTGCCACGGGAAATCGGTTACATCGGCGAGATGGGCACCTCTATCGAAGCTTAAGACTCCAGGCCCGTCGCGGAGGGAGCACGTGAATAAAAAATGTAGATGCGGTTTCCATCGTTTCTATTCTCTCCGTTCGAATGATATCCGACAGGAATTTACACAAAACTGCTAAACACAGAAAAGGGATGGACTTCAGTTATCGCCACAAACCGTACACAAATACTAAATCAGCTTATCAAACCTTTCATCGATAAAGCGAATTCGAATCAATTCAATCCAATTGAGGTTCATCCACAGTCGTTTCGATTGATCAAAACGGTGACAGGATCGAAGCTGATAATTTGGCATCCCTGTCTAGGTTCAAACTTTGACGGGGAGTCGTAACCTTTGCCCGATTGCAGGCCTGTCTACGCTCTAACGAGGAATTTCCAAATCTCTCCTTAACGATAGTGGAACCGTCTGGTGTGCTTGGGGACTTCGGTTTCCTCACGTTTTCCTTCGAAACAGCCTCGTGTTAAACGCGGAGATCATCTCGTAATCGTGGAAGTGAACATTTTGAAAATGAATTTTTTAAATGCATTTTCCCCACTCGATGCGCAGGGATCCAAACCATCCTCGCAAGGGCAAAATCTGATTTCAAATTAACGCCACCTCGCATCCTCTCGAGACAGCGAAGAAAAAAACGGATTTTGCACACATTTTGAAACTGTATTTTCTCTTTTCCCTCCTTCCGCATGATATCAAGCAATTCCTTTCCAATGGTGTCAATTAAGACTGCCGATGTCGAAATATCGTTCGATTCGAGTTTAAATCGAGATTTTGAAAAATGACAGGGAATTATCAGATTTCAGATCTAGCCCTGAATAAATGACATTTTGAAGGCAGTCGTTTTTGGATGTTCAGTCTTCGTCCAAAAAAGTGTACTTTTGACATATGAAAAAGAAGTACACAAGTACAAAAGAAACGCACTCAGAAGCAATAGCCTCATGAAGTAAAACTCGGCTGACCAACCGGTTACTCCATTAACCGAGGGGGTTACTGCAGCGCAACGCAAGCATGGGATGCGGGTCGGTCTGAAAGAAAGGCTCTCTGAAGCAGCAGGACAAAACTTTCGAAATTGTTCAAAGGTGAACTATAGCCTTAAAATCATTTCAAAGTCAGAGGTGCGGAGACATGCAAACACACTCACACAGGACTGGGCGTTAAGGAAGCCAGCCATCCCTGATAAGATTAAAAGGGTAGTTTCACCTTTCAAGCACCGTGAAATACATTTTAAAGTTAATTTCAGTGCTTGAAAGGAGGAGGAAAGCCTGATAGCCTCAACTTATATGACCTTGATCGCGTCAAATGACACCCTCTGGGCTTCTCTTTCGATCTGAATGATTCCTGTTTCCGAAAAGGATCCAAGCGATGAAGGCAGTGAGGGAATTGGGCACCTGGCGAAGACGAACGGCCGCGCTCATGAATGCTACGTGAACTGAATGCACGTACCAGTACTTGGTGGTGGGTGGGGTCCCTCGTACGACCGGCTATGTCGCTTGTCCATCTGCTTCCTTTAATCCTGACACAGCAGAATTTATTCATGCAGTTTTCGCCTACTGTGACAGGGGATTCCTACAGGCCCAGAGAGCGTTTCTTTTTTACGCAATCTACACGTGTCCGGAGACCGGCGTGCTTGCATTTCGGAGTCGTAACTGGCGCTGTGGAATTACCTTTCTGGTTATGGCATTCATTCTCTATTTCGGAGAGCACAGAATCAAAATGCCGAATTATTGTGCGAAGTCGAAATTCAGGCTCAGATTTTGGCGACGTGAAATCAATACCTCCTGAGGGCGACCCTTTACCTCTTTTATCCTTCGCTCAAATTCAAAGATCACAATTCGGTCAGAATTGTGAAAAAAAAAGAGGACTCAGTTCGTCACTCGAGACACAAGAAAAGCCAATGAAGACGCGAGGACGAGCCCTCGGACTCTCCCGTGGATCGCACCCGACGCATTCTCCTCTTGGCGGCCCCAGCCCATCTGATCCGGTTCCTCCATCACGCAACGCACCCCATCTGAGGAAACAAATCCGATTTGTGTCCCGAGTCGCTAAATTTTCGATTCGGAATGGGCGTCTTCAGACCGAACTTGCCGAATCCATCGCGGAAGTTCTGCTTATTCTCCTCGGTCGAGCCAATGGCTGAAGCGAAGCCGTGTCACAAAATTAGCTCGGTTAATTGCATGCTTTTGAATGAGAGGATAATGAGACGACGGAGTATCCTGTTGTGGCTTGGTGGTATTCAGCCACATTTACAAGGAGAAATCGGTATCGTGGAATAAATCGTCGTCATCCTCATTAAAAAGAAGCTCATTTACAGTGGGAATAAATCCCTCGAACAGCGACGATTGAGACTTGCGATCCCCATCGCTTTCTTGGCTTCGAAAGCATCGACACCCGACGCAATTCATTCCGGTCAAGGCCTGGGATGACATCATAAGTTCGGGGTTCATCACTCTTCCGCGGCGACAGATGAAAGCCCAGAGCCACGACGTCAAGGATCCACCTCTCGTTATTTCACGGTTCGGTCTTCATCCATTATTCGGTGTCAAGTACTCGTTACCGCCTCACCTGCCCCGCTTACACAACCACTCCACGACCTCACTCGAAAACGAACCCGTGACATCGCATTAACATGCAAACGAGATGGGAAAGATCCATACCTGGCTTCCACCCGACAAAGGCGCCGTGTTTCTTGTTGTCCTCCGTGAGCCAGTCCTCCAGCGGCTGGAAATACTCCCTGAGGGCGGATGCATCCATTTTTGGGTTCCCCCCCGTGATGGCAGCCATCGCCTCTCCCCACGGCCTCGACGAACCCAGCCTCAGCATTGCCCTGTGGTCACATCCATCAACCTTTAGCACTAATCGCGGTTGAATTTTCGTTCAATCGTGATTCATCGAACAAGAAGTTTTAAAAAATCGATAACAGGGCGACAAGGAAGACATTTAATCTGAGAATAGTTTTTTCCCTCATCTAATTGGTGAGGAAATTAAGAAAATAAATATTCCTGGGAAAAACGTTCCCAGGACCACAATCTGTTTTTCTGTTCCATGGTTTTACTGTAGGTTCCTGAAATAATTATCATCGGAAAGAGACGTGCTATTACTCCAACAGTGATGTCCGCTACGTTTAAACTCATGTGATTTCGCGATTTAAATAGGTTTACTTTTGGAAATAGGTTTACCAGAGATAATCTATCCCATAGAAGAACGATAAGCCAAAATAACTAGTCGCCTCGGCCTCGAAGATCCGCCAATCACCAAAATCAACAATCATCATTAATGAGCTACAGCTTCCTTCCAAACCCCATCCCAATTTGTCAACAGGTACGCCAAATCGCATGCAGGGATGCAGAAGACAGCACTGACTTGAGAAGATTCCCGGCTTCCTTGCTCTGATAGATGTCGCATTGGTGGATGGGGTTTTCCCCAGGATTTTTCGGATCGTATTCCCCAGCTGCTGTACACAGAGCTCGATGGAATTGGAATTGGATGATGTTGCTCACGAAGTAGCTGGAACAACCCAACGAAACATGAATGAAATTCATCAAAACGTATTTTACGTTTTAAATGTTACCGTTTGGACAGACTATTCATGTGAAATTTCCATTAAGATATCTGAGCAAGTAAGTTGGTAAAAGAGATGTCCATGGTTGCAGTTTAAAACTTTAATAACCAAGTCGACGTGGCTTCTGGTGGTCACTTTGGGCAAGATCAAACATAATCACTATGAACGGATGGTCATTACATTAATCAGGAAGTTTACGATTGACTAATTCCAAGCTTTTCAGTCAAAAATAAATCCTTGAAAGGCTCCCGATTCTGATGCCGATGAGGCTGAGTGGATCCTTGAAAGTGAATACACCTGAGTGCCTCTCTTCGCCGGGTTGTAAACAAATAGCAGATCCGCCCTGCTTCTTTAGTCTTTTCCTCTAACTAACTAAGACGCAAGTCATTCAAATTCTCTACGTCCTCTTACTGGGAGATCCAAGAGCCGATAACTTTATTAACTCAGAAAATTACATTTAATGAAGATCAAATGGAGGGAAAAGAAAGAGCACTCATGCCACCTACAGCATCCTCAGTGCGTGTACTGTCACAAACTTATGTTGGATGGAGTCTTTCTTACCCAACTTACGAACATTATTGGTATGGGTTTGCTTTGGTTACCGTATGTATGGGACATTCGCAGCGATGTGATATTTGGCGCCTGGATCGAAGTCCTCTTCGCTTCTGATGTTCGGAGGCTGAATTCCTTGCAACTCTGACCTGAAGAAAATTTCAGAATGACTTTCAAATTCCCGTCCAAGCTACGATGACTTCATGTGCTACGTTCTGTCCACTACTATGTGAAGGTCTGCCCATGTTAAAATAATATCGCCCTGCTTCAATACAGCTGATTCCTTCACATCTGACATCATTCCGTTTGGTGTTTTACTTTTCCCCCAAATGTATTTCTTCAGTTGTAATCAATAACTTATTTTGTGCATTGGTCATCTCCCATTCTTACTAAGTGGACCTATTTTTATTGGTACCACACCAGACACCCAGTGCAGATGTACTTCACGTTCCAGTTCAGCAATTGAGAATTGCAAAAGGTAATTTCCCAAGGCAACTGTTTCAATTTTCATCAAAATCCAACCAAGACGGCTTTCCCTCCAATCTAGTAATGGCGAATAAGCATTCTTCAGCATATTTATAGTTGCCGATCAATACTTCTGATGAAACAAAACATACGCGTGTTACAAGTCGAGTAGATTGATATGACATGTCAAAACCGGTTCGGTACTTTTAGAAGGAGATAGGTAACTGAAAGTCATTAGAGTCACACTCTCAGTGCTAATTCCTCGAGCGTCAAAATTCGCTGGATAGTGCCAAAGAAATCGCAGGCCAGATCAGTCAAGAATAGCATTCAAGACAACGTGTCCTGAGGTATGATGAAACGATATAGATGTTTTACGGGGCCTTTTATCGTTACTCGCCTAACCTCAGGAAATCCCAGCACCTTCCCTATCTAATCTGGTAATATTAGCTACCATTACATATCCCAAGTAGCACACTTGTCAATGTTCATCATATGCGGGTGCATAAACGGTGACCGTCGCCGCATTGAATCAATGTTGAACATGGAGGTACTAACATCAACAGAGATACATTCAATCCACACCTTGTCAACGCTGAATCAGTGTTTTGTGCTACTTGGAATGTTCCCACTTACTATTGTGTGACCACGCCTACCCAGTTATGACCTGAGTGACCTGCAAATGAGTCCATTGGCGAAAATATTAATTGGTTGGAAACTCATTTCATGCAAGTCCTTATGGAGTATTTCAATCAGCAACTAATGAGAAGAGACGCAAATATAGAGAACCTGAGTTTCCACCACTCGCAGTTGTAGTGGCTGGAGGAGATATTGCCCCGGAAGACATTCCACCTCCAGACATCGATGAGATAACCGTACGGGAGAAAGGCCACACTGGACAAGGCCTGAGACATGAGATAGTTCAGGTCAACCTGCCAGTTCCTCTTCCCTGCTGACTCTGACAAGAGCCCGATCTTCACCATGTGCTTTGGGGTCATCACCGATAGCGCAATCACATCTCCTACTGCTTCGTGGAAACCTACAAACAAGGCCAAAGAAGGGTCAAGGTCAATCCTCCCTACTGCCCCCGGCGACTCCATATAATCCAGCCCCACTCTCAACTGATGCGATTTTCAATCAAGAGAATGCAACAGCCAACAGGTAGACGCAGGGAATAAGTCGATGAGTTCTAGAACAATAATGATGAACGAAACCACTCATTGATTGGAAATAATGATATACCTTTATTGGGCTATTCTTATTACATCTAATTTTGATGCTCCGGCTCTCATTTAAATCTTTTGTGTATTAAGGAACCCTACATTTCAGCAATGATGTAGCGGAAGAACAGTCAGAAAGGTAACAGTCAGCTGTCTTTATGTGAAGGATGGCGAAACTGGGTTGCTCCTCGCAACTTGGAGAGTGATGGTTTGACCAACTTTAACCTGGCCAGAGAGGTAAATAATCAATAAAATGCCCCCAAATATCGATGCGTTGGAAGGTGTCGATAGGAAATCGTTTTGAAGAAGGAAATGATCAATTACATCTGGCCTACAAGTGAATATGAAGTTTGCATAATATTAACCACAAGGGTTACGTTTGCTGCCAAATATAATTTTTATCGGAAAAAGTTTATGGGGAAACTCTTTTCCTCCAATTACTGTTTCAAATGCTGCTCACCGTTGATTTTTATTTTGGTCTTTAATCTATTAATAGGATTATATTCATTTCTAGAAGTCTACAAAAGAAAGTGATCTAAACATGCGCACATGCATCATACAATCTTTCTCAATCATCACCGCATGAAGATGAAAACTCCCTAAAGATAAGCACGATGGGTCGCCTCTAGAGCTTAATGTCAACTCCAGCAAAGAAACAAAACAAAAATTAGTATATTGATGCATTTAACCATCTTACATGCACTACCAATCAAATTGGGTCTAACCAATTAAGAATCTTTATTTTCAGTTTTTAACTGACCTGGATTGGCTCCGTCCCGAAAGGCAATGTGAAGGTCCTTGTACTGAATGAAGTACTCGACATGTCCCATCTCGTGATGGACCGTCACGAAGTCCTCCATTGTCATGTCCGTGCACTGTTTGATTCTGTTAGATCAGTCATTTCAAAGCCATATTTTCATTCTCATCTCGGGTTTACTTTCCTCTCAGAAATGATCAGAATTCATCCCTAGCCATTAGTCCAATATGCAGAGTTGGGAATTCACGATCATCAAGCACTCTCATTTTGTAATAAACCATCAGTGATTACTTCATTTAATGGAGTAGACTCGCCCATGGCAATGAACGATATTGAGATTCTCCATGCAATAGCCAGTACCAACAGTAACCGACGAGTCAAACGTTTCCCTGTTTTCCTTTCAAGCCGAGGCTGAAAGATTGCAGACACTTCAATTCCATGGTAGTTCCTCGATGGTGATTGGAAATATTTTCAGACATATCCCAGTTTCTCCCTCCCTTTTTTTCAATGCAGAATATGCAATTACGAAAAAAGAGTAACTAGATGAACTAAGATGGAAAGTTGAAGAATGATTAAGACTGCTCATAGTAAGTACTCAGGCAATCTTAATCCTCTTTTCCTTGTTTTAAGGAAAAGAGTGAAGAAAGAAAGGAATAACCTGAAGTCCTTGGAATCGCAAAAGTCCCAGGCAGAAGCATGACAGATAATCGTCCGGTCTTTTGGTTTCTCGATGATGGAGAGGTTCCAAAACGTCTCCGGCATTGGACTCAATCCAATAGATGTGAAGAATTCCTCTGATAATCGAAACAACCTCTCTGCCGTGTAGTTCTAAAAAAAAAGTAATAATAAAATTTAAATAAAATCTAGGGAAAATGTTTCGAATATTAAAATATTAAAGGAGGGACAACTTACGCAAAAATCCCGCTTCCACATGAAGGAGAATGGAAATGTTGGATGTAAGTATGTACATCACGCTTCTGTATTATTTTTTTATATTGTATTATTTATTTAGATGTATGAATGGAATTCGTCATAATGACCTGTTCTCGAAGTGCGGGTGTGATATCGAGAGATGCTTCCATCTTGTAGGGTTGGAGGAGGTCTTTAAGGTTGCTCCAGTCTTGGGCCCACATATCACCTAGTCAACACGCACACAGAAATGGGCGGAAATAGTCAGTGATTTTGCAACACGGTGCTTTTGCAGCTATTTCAAGGATGGTGGAGTAAGAAGTCAAACAGTCTGTCTAATAGACGCCTTATAACTTTTCTTCGTAAAAGTCAAATCTCTTCCTCTCGTTGCTTCGGAAACCAAGAGAATTTACAGCCCAGTCAGCAGAGTAAGCGTCGACATAGATCGGCGTCTCTGCGTTAGCCGTGCCGTTTCTGTTGTTTCTTACAGTGATTAGACTATCTCTGGCTCAGAAAGGTTGTTCGCAGTTGTTGCAGCTATTGCAGTGTTCATGGTGGAGGCAAATGCTTTTCAGTATAGTCCCCAGATGTCCCGATGTCCCGATGTCCCAGCTTATGTCCCAAAATTTCCTGTTCATTTCCACTCAACGAATTAAACTTTCAACTAGAGAGCACTGGAATTTGACACATAGCTGGTTTTGTGACGGTCATATGACACTTGGAAGGAACGCGACTCCATTCTGAAGTCAGATTCTTCTGAAATGTCCGTTCATGCATGCGTTAAGCAATGGGAAATCCATAGACATGTCAAATATTGATGCCCTTAATGTTTTATCCAATTATATAATAGAACTAGGGATATTTATGGGTTACAGGTGAGACATTCCTAGACCTGACTGTTTCACCTGGATTCCGATTGCTGGTTATTGGAGTAGTATCTTCTAATTGGGAATTTCGGCAAGTCGACAGTTCAAAAAAGTTCGACAAAAAATAAAGCACACGCGGCTATGAAATTCAACCGCATGAATATCGTTGGAAAGAGGTTGGGGAGAGCTTACAGATGGCACTATTCTCAAGTTTGTATCCTGTTCGAAACAGGAAATACGAGCGTGAAACTATGTGAAAATGGGCGAAATTGGACTTTTCAAATTTATTTTCCAGTTATTAAAAACTGAATAGGCAATTGAAATTTAGCTGCTCCCATTGCAATACCTTGTTTTGCGATGTTGCAAAAGCTATTTGTCCTACCTTGCTTACCAATGTTCAAAATTTGCTTGCGAAATTTGGCCTTTTTTGGCAATGTCCAACTCATTTCATCATGAATATGCCAGATAATGCATTTAAAAATTAGATTATGCATTGTCTCAGCATTCATTAGAGTCCAAAAACGCTTTTCTGGCTCAACTATATCTCTTAGAGGCCACCATGCATGAATTTTTTCCAACCAAATCGGAGTCTGAAGCGCAATGAAATTTCCCTGAATTTACCCTCTTGAACCGGAATGCCTCAGCTCTGATTCTCGCAGATGTACTGAGCCACACAATGAGCCACACAATGTGCTACACTTGGCCCACAGATGTACTAGATGAGGTGCGACTGAGAACGTGGACATTTAGTTTACGCCCTATGCGTATGCCACCCGAGTGCCGTGTATACATGTGCGTCATGGCGTGGGCCAAGCTTGGAAGAGCTGACTGAGTGGATATAAGCCATACTTGGCCCGGGGATAAATTGCTAACTGGGAGGGTGTCCTGCCATTGCAGGATTAATAAGCGAAATCCCTGTCATATCTCCTTATCCCCTGTCATATCTCCCTGTCATATCTGTCTTCCATCAATCAGACCATTGACGTTGCTGAAGGTCACATTCCCAAAAACATTTAAAAAAAAGGTCTCCTCCCTCCTAGACCTAAGCCAAGCACTTTTTACATCTTACCTAAAGTGCACATGAACGGCTTCCCAGGCAGACCCATTATTAGCACCAAAGCTACAGCAACGGAAAGGATCTCGTTTCGCCGACCTCCACCTTGCTCCGCTTGCCCCATATCGACCCTCTTTTTATCAGAGACGCTAATGATTTCCAATCACGTCCGGAGGTCATCAAGTAGACAGAGTGAGCAAAACCGCAGCATTTCCATACCCTGTTTGAACTCTAACTCTTCTTATTCTTCTCAAGTACACTTTCTCAGTGCTTAGTTCTTTCTAATTGTTTTGTCACGACCAGAAACGTGACAGCCTTTCAGTTAAAAACTAGGGCTGTACCAATGTATCGGCTAACACCGGTATCGGCCGCCGGTACCATCGGCGCTGTCGGACTATGGCGCTGATGCCGGTGCCCAAAGGACGGGCAAAGAGAAAAAAAAATTGCATGATGGTTTGAACACGTCTGGGAGCCGGCCCTCTTGTCTCACTGAAAGCCACTCCTGGCAGCATCTTCCAGACAAAAATATCAATCGGATAATATTAGAGTCGGATTATAGGAACCGGCAGAGGAAAAGAGCGGTAAAGGGAAGTAATCCCGTCTCTACTTATGTTATGCTTCTGCAAGGGTTGTGTCATTAAATGCTCTCAACTGCAGCAATGGATAACAAGCTAACTGCTGACAGCCTCATAGAGAGAGAGACAGGCTGGACAGGACCATAAGTGGTCTCTATCGTTTCAAGGTCTACTGATAAGTGATACTGATAAGATTGGCTTCCAATTAGGCCTATTTGATTTCATAGGCGATTTCTTCTACAGGCCACAACTGACACCGGCACCGGCCGATGGTTATGAGGAAAAAATCGGTCATCGGCTCACCGGCCAAATGTGGCCACCGGTACAGCTCTATTAAAAACATCAGGTTTTGAATCTGCAATTCAACCTCTTACCAAGCAAATGAGCGGGGATGGGTCCATCGGCCGTGACCTTGTCCTCTCCGTACTTCTCCCGCAGCTTCCGTCGGACGTAGGCGTGAAGCTGTTCGTACAACGGTCGGACAGTCTCCCACAATTCTGCCACTTCCTCCTCGAATGTATCCGACTCGTAAACCCAACGCCAAATAGCACCCATGTCCGTGAAATCTACCAATCAAGTGTATTAGATCACACAATTCATCCTTCCTTGGATGGCGGTCTAATGACGGTCTAATGGCGCAAGGGTTGAAAAGGTACATTGCCCACAACCACCCCCACACCAACGCTTGGGTTTGGATATAAAGGGTGTCTGAAAAGTCACTCCCTATTTTTAAATTGTTATTGCTCCTAAACCAAAGGAGATATTGAAAAATTTATTTAACTGAATTGAAGCTTATTTTTTACCGTTTACTTTATAACAAAATTGAAAAACTTTATTACTAAGTTAAAATTCAACGTAGGCTCCAACATTGTCCACACACTTCTGTAACCTTACCGGTACATTTTCAACAGATTTTCTCAAGAAGTCATCTGGTGCATTCCCTGGAATATCACGAATTTTGTTTTCAAGTTCATCAATGGTCCTTGGTTTTGATTTTTAAACTAATTCTTTCGAACACACTTCTGTAACCTTACCGGTACATTTTCAACAGATTTTCTCAAGAAGTCATCTGGTGCATTGCCTGGAATATCACGAATTTTGTTTTCAAGTTCATCAATGGTCCTTGGTTTTGATTTTAAAACTAATTCTTTCGCCCAGCCCCACAGAAAGAAGTCGCACGGCGTTAAATCGAGCAGGCCATTCCGTTTTCAGACTTCTCAGACACTCTGGTGTCTGAAAAGTCACTCCCGCTTTTTAAATTGCTATTGATCCTAAACTAAAGGAGATATTGTAACCGTTCGTTCACTGTTTTAAGCTTAATCATTACCATTTCTATTACAAGTGAATAATGGCTGAAAATTAAGCATAGAAGAACGAGCGACTTAATTTAATAGGTCGTCGAGGGCCAACGGAATGGCCTGCTCGAAGTCCAGATTTAACGCCGTGCGACTTCTTTCTGTGGGGCTGGGTGAAAGAATTAGTTTAAAAATCAAAATCAAGGACCATTGATGAACTTGAAAACAAATTTCGTGATATTTTAGGCAATGCACCAGGTGACTTCTTGAGAAAATCTGTTGAAAATGTACTGGTAAGGTTATAGAAGTGTGTGGACAGTGCTGGAGCCTACGTTGAATTTTAACTTTGTAATAAAGCTTTTCAATTTTGTTATAAAGTAAACGGTACAAAATAAGCTTCAATTCAGTTAAAGACATTTTTCAATATCTCCTTTGGTTTAGGAGCAATAACAATTTAAAAATAGGGAGTGACTTTTCAGACACCCTGTAGATGTACGCTTATGATATACCTTATTTATATCATTTTTACTGATGAAGGGCACTGACTTCGTTACTCTTACCTGTGAGGGACACATGCCATGGTCGGACCTTTGATACTGGGTTGGAGTATTGATGGAAATGACGTGTAATGAGTGGGTGCTAATGCTTGTAACTGATGTCGTTTTTATGGAAAGGATATTATTCAGTGCCTTCCTTGCCCTTACTATTCCCTGGTGTGAATGTATTTTATTATCGTTTTTAAGCTCTGGATGAATGATGCTAAAGTTTTAGTCCAGTAAGAAGCTATTGCTTCTAGCATCTCTGTGAGAGTCCTTTCGACATAGTCCTTTTTTCCCTTTAGACGTAGGCTCATTGTGCTTTGGAATTTGCTTACTTGTGGTCTTCCAGTCTGAAGTATGTTCTAACCTGTATCAGTCCATTTTGGTACCTACATCTACAGTTCCTCACTGAGTGAACCGTTCCCCCTTTGCATTTTCCAAATTTCCTCTTCATCTTTTTGCTTTTGGCTGCAGGCCTGTATGCCTGCTTTCAAAGCATGGAAAAGTCAATTGTTCATATTGGATATAAGAGAATCTTATCTCATGGTCTTCTTTCCTTGAAAGCAAATTCAATATGAGCCCAAAATTTAATTTAAATTTGTTAGATCTCTGAAAATGAACAAGGATAAAGAATCCTGAACCTGCCCTGACTGAGTACCTTTAGCTATTAATGAAGAGCAAAATACTCCGAGAATTGCCTAAGTTAGGCCTCTGCTTAGGTATCCACATCCATAGAAAAATTGCAGTATATATTGATAGTAGTGTTAAGCATGGTGTAATTGAAGTTTTTATTTTACAATCTTTAGGTCTTTTAACATTTATTTAGCAAAATGTCGTCTAGATCTTCAAAATACAGAAAGTTTCATAGAGAAGTGAATGGGATTTGGGCAGGGGTGACAGATGAGGTGATTTCCAATTTCAGGGATGTATCTAGCATGTCTTGTACACATTCCCCTAATCATTCAGAACAGATGTGAATCCTTGTTGAGGAAGTTATTCTCACACTGGAGACATCTGTACTTGGAGGTGATTGTAGTTCTAAGAGGCAAGAAGCAAGTATATTTTGTATCTGGTCACCTATGGTAGAACCTCAGGAAAGTGGTGATTCCCTTGTTGAACTTCCTCTTCATGAAGTTCATCCTGGTCATGATGACTCAGAAGACACTTCTTTATCTTTCTCTGTTGCATTAGTGCAGTAGAAACAGAAGCATGATATCACAGGATCTGTCATGGATGACCTCTTAGGAATTCTCACTCAGAAGTCACCCTGTTCAAAACCGATTGATTCAAAGAAGTTAGGCATTGGCAGAGTTTTATCAAACAATCCAGTTTCAGACAGCTAGAAAGTGTATCCTCTTACCCCACCCCACCAAACAGTGCCTCGTTGCTATTCCTCTTTGTTATTCGAATTGTCAGCTGAACCAGTGAATGCTGTTGCTGCAGTTGACAGAGTTGTCATGGCATTCATACTCGTTGAATTCGAGAATAAGGAATGTGCAATTACATCAGCATCTTGGTCCAATGATGGCATGTGCTCATGGCCAAAATCGTGCAAATCTGATGTGGAGCTTGAAGGACTCTTGAAGAAGAGCAGACCTTCATTCACGGATTGGGAAGAGTATCCTGCAAAGGCCCTGAAACTCTATGATAAGGCTCTATTTCTGCTGCCTGACTGATTTTGTCTTTTTCAATGAAAATGTAATGTATTTGCACAAAGTAACTAATGAAATATGGAATAATCTGGTATTCCTCAAAGTTGTTCCTTTCGATTCATGGGATTGTGAGGGCAAGCAATAATTAATGCCATATATCCACAATGCTGTTGCTATGTTGGATAATCCAATCCAAATGAATGTACTTGTAGGAACTTACAAAGAAACACTTGGAAACCTCAGAAATGTAGAGCTGCACAGTGACTGGAGTGCCAACATTCCTGCTAAAAGGAAGGTTTCTCGACCAAGATATTCTAAAGGATTTCAGTCCAAAATCAACGTGAAGAAAAAGGAACAGCTAACTGACTCCACTGAACTGGAGTTCAGGGGAATCAACTGAAGAAGAACATACACCAACAATATTCGGGACGTATCAAAGGTAAATAGGGCACTCTTTCATCTTTCTCACTAATTACAGTGAGCAATGAAAATGTTCAATCTTTTCTGCGCTCTTTGATGAGTGAGTTGTGGTTTTCATCTTAGTGAGTATGGAGATTGCTTAAAGGAAAGGGAATCCATGCATCAGAGCAAACAGAAACCAAGAAAAGACATGCCTGGGACACCTGCTCTTGAATCATCTGCTAATAGTTTTCCATGTGTCTCAGCGATTTCCCAATTACTCAGAATGAGTTGAAGCAAAAGTTTCAGTTTCTGAGAATGGCTTTGTGTAACTGTATTTCATATGTATTCTTAAAAATATGTGCCCTACTCAAAAGTTTATACAGATCTTGATGGAGCTTCGAAATGAGCAGAATGCCCTGGAGAAAAAGCTTACTGAGATTTCTGCTGCTTGCTTGAAGGAGTCAGCGCAGAAACCGAATGGTTTGGCCCAATTTATTGAATGTCTGCCTTTGTCTTCCATGAAAGATCTCTATCATTTCTTGATATCTCTCAGAAGAGTTGAAGAAATGCATTGGTGAGTCACGGAAAAAGTTCTATGAACTCAACTGAAAATGACACTGTCTTGAAGCAGTTTTTTCTCTTATTCCTTTTATCTTTTATGATGATGCCCTTTCAGTGTGTTAAATCTTGCATGCTATGAGAACCTCAGTTCAACAAAATTATTAGTAGTATTAGCCGTTCTGAAAATCGTCTCCTATTGCAGTCTGACTCGCCACTTTTTTCTTTAAATATTCCATAAACAGGCATTGTCACAGCTTTTAATTTTTGTGACAATTCATTATTTAAAAAAATATTCATTAGAACACCCTCATGTATAATTTTTACTTTCATCATCATGCTTCAGATTTCCTACCTTGGGCGATTTGGAGGAAATGATGTCAAGGAGACCACATACATGATAATGAGGAAACTAATCCTCAGTGAATTAGCCAGATTTGTCACCTTATATGGGACAGGGAAGAAACCATCCTTTGAGAGGATTGTTCTTGCAGACTTAGTCTTTGGCATGATTTCATTTTCGGTTCTTTGAGAATCCATGCTTGAAGTAGGCTCCTAGTTATTGAAATCGTACTCTCTATTTACGCAGGCAGTTGGTCGCAACAGCAAACTCCCACAACCAACTCAAAAGATGTATTTCATCACATTGCAGAGTGGCTCCGATTTGCAAATGCCAGATTGCGTCTTAAAACTGCCAAAGAAAGTTTTCTCTTAATTTTCTCTGCATTCAATTAATTCAATCAATCAGAAAAATGTAAGAACAATAGCTGAATACAGCTATGTCAGATCATAATCATGCTTGAATGCTAAATGAGTTGATAACATCATGAATAATGTCTAGTAAAAGCATCAGAGCCTGGATATTTCAAAGCATGCGCTTATTCCATGTCATAGGCATACCACATTGGAAGTGTCATCACAACAGTCAAAATAGGAATGTTTCTTGTTCAAGGAGAAAGGTGTGATAGGGAGGCAGACAAATGGCAATCTAGAAGTTCATGGTGGGTTGTGATACTTGGCATCTAAATATTTTTATATGGCATGTAATAGATGAAATATATAGGAGTATTCTGCTCTAAAGGAAACAAATATTGTCATTCTCCATGCTAGCAGCGCTATACTCGATGAGATAAGCTGGGTAGAAGTCCTGATCATGATACTTGATGATCATTCTTGGTCCACTGGTGGAATGATAGCCCGAGGGGGGCCAGGTCATTGTAGAATTTCCTGGAGTGGAGAGACCAATGAGAACCTTCGCCACAAACATGCAATTTCCTTCTGCTGTATAACCCATGGACACTTCAGGGTCAGTGGCAAAGTATACTCCTTTGCCATATGCAGATCCATTTGCGGTTCGGTGGAGCCTCCAGTCAAAGTTCTGTTTGCATATGAATTGTATGTTGGAAGTTGCTGTCCCATGGAAGAGGAACTTCTCATTCAATTTGGATGCGTCATCTTTGAAATCTGTCTTGAGTAAGTGGAGTCTTCTGTCTTGATACACCTGCCAGATGTATGCATTCTGAATTCGACTTACTTTTTTAATGTTAATCTTAGTGGCTTGGAAGAGGTGAATGATGTTCTTGTACTCTTCGGACGTGGAGGATAAGGTAACCATTCTGTAAATATCATTTTCCATTGGTTCCCAATCTTCGGGAGTGTGTCTGTATTCATCTATTGATTCAGAAGCAAGCGTCGGTGGAGCAGGGCGTCGCCTCACCTTTCTCTCTGTGCTGTACTGTAAGTCAAGAAGGGAGGAATTAAATATGCATGTAAATACTATCGTATGTAAAGGTACTCTCAGGTGGCTTTAAAAACGAGAATATATTAAAATAAACATAACCAATACGCAAATGCTATTATATGCTATTGCTAGCTCGAATTTTAATATATCGGAAGTCGCAGTTGTGGAAGTACACTCACAGTGGCTCTCCCTCTCCCTCCCTCTCTCTATGTCCATTCCATATCATCGCGTTTATTTGTCCAAAGGTTGCTCCACGAACAAAGGAAATTACTAATGCATTTAAAGCATTCGTTCACTCAGCCCTCATGATGCAGTCCAGCCCCTTGGTTAATGGGTTTGGCAATTCTCGCGCCTTCGGCGCTCGCACCTTAAAAATAAAGTTGTTTCAGAAAATATTCATATAATTTCCAGTATAAGAGTTACCAGGTAAAGATTCAATGCTTCGTTTAGTGTTTCGATATTGAATTTAATCCCTGCCTGTGGTCGTCACACCCTTCTTTGCATATAAATCTAAAAAAAAAACATGTAGCAGTAGATACATTAGTTCGTAACTTTAGCTTTTTAAAGCAATTAATCCTTGTATACTATGGTGAGTTTTATCGTTCTATTGATATCTATATTCTGGCACAAGGACCCTAAGGATGTCTCCTTTTCAAACACTTCAAAAGGCCACATACAATTGTCCAAGAAAAGACACGTCATTCCCAAAATACCAAACCTTTCCTCTTGATGCAGGACTTTGATATGCACCTTGTCTTCCGCACTGAACTTGCCCATTGATGCAGTTATACCTTTCCATATGAAAGGATATGCCACCACACAATCAGACACGTTAGACCCCACATATCACACTGTGGCAGAACGTGGCAAGAAACAAAAACCATGACAGGAGCGCTGGAGATCCGAAAAAAACTGGCCGCCATGAAATCTTCCCGGTTTGCGCAAAAGTGATTTTTCGCCTCTCGCAGTAAAATCGTCACTGCGCAAAAACTTCTGAACTCAATTTCACAAAACAAAGAGGGTCTTATTCTAGTTCATCCATTTGAAATAATGCCATACATTTCAAACACATATCTTAATCAGAACAAGTGTGACAGCAGATTGAAAAGTATGGACTTTTTTTTACCCACCCTGTATATCGCAATATACCTAAGTTTAAACTGGGCATGTGAATATCCATCGCAGACAACTCATTAGCGAAGCCATGTTTCCTAGGGTTATAGGTTTAGGAATGTCTGTAGACAACTAAGAAACGGCTGCGCTAAAAAAAAAATCATCTGAAGGGGACGCCCTAATCCCGAAAAGTAATTTGATTACAATATCTCTTCAGAAAATTGAAGCAAGTAGAGATCCTTTGATCAATTATCTTTTTTCACTTATCAATATAATGTCATGCGATGCAATGAAGGAAGCGGGACCATTGTTATTTTTTTATTTGTTGCAATATGTATTTCTTGTTTATACTTAATGTAAGTAGACAATGAGAAAGTGAAAATGAGTGACTGCCACGTGTGACTGAGAGCTTAGGAAGAAGTAATTTGCGGTATTCTCTCAATATTGATAGCAAATGTTGCAATAACATGCTTAGAAGTGTCTCAGCGACATTCCAAGCGTTAAAAAGTGAAAAATGTCTAAGGAATGTTTTATCAATGTCGTTCATGTACTTGGGACATAGAGCAACATTGGTAACATTTCGGAACCTTCCATCAACATGCTGTTACCTGGGATAGTGTATAGCTGAAAATTATCTTGTGTTTTTTGGTTCAGCATGGAGAAAAACGGTATTATTTAAAGTCATACTTACAAGGGAAACTTTCCAGGCAATCTAATACCCTCCTCACATCTGATCCCCTGATGGCCCAAAAAGGGTTTTCGGGTCAGATTGCAGTTTTCTTGCATAGACAAGAGAGTGACTATTCCATGTATATGTTCATGATATGATAGAAAAATGAAATTTTCTACACAGAAAGTTCTAATAAGAACTTCTAGAAAATATTTGAAATTGATGGGCGGCACCCACGGAGCTCCTGCTTGTGATTCAGTAGGGGACATTTCAATAGTTTCAGGCATACGAGGGCCACTCAATAAGTTATCTACCTGAATATGAAAACATTTAATGACTCAGAGATTGGTGCAGCTGAAATCTAAAATGCAGGAGCTTCTGCACTCTCATCGTATGCCGCCCCTACGTATTGATTTTTTTGTTTGCTGTACTGAATTTTTCCGGAGCGATGTAACTGGGGATTTCAGAGGGCACAGTGATTCACATTATTCAGGAAAAATTACACATGTCCAAAGTCAGTTCTCGATGGGTCCCAATAATGCTGACTCCAGCTCAGAAGAAGAACAAATCTGACATTTGCAAGGAAAACTTGGAGTTTTCTAAACAAAACGGGAAACTTTTTTCCCCAGGATAGTAACTGGTGATGAATCTTGAGTTCATCACTGGGATCCCGAAACCAAGCAGGAGCCCATGCATTGGAAGCACAATGGATCGCCAACGCCTTGCAAATTTCTGGTTCAGAAATCTGCAGGAAAGATTATGGACACTGTGTTTTGGGACAGCGAGGGACTGCTGCTGCTTGAGTTCATGCCAGACGAGTGTACAATCACTGGAGATTCCTATGCTACCATCGTGAAAAATTTACATGATGCCATCAAGAAAAAACGCAGAGGAAAATTGTCAAGGGGGGTCCTTCTTTTCCATGTCAACGCGCCCGTCCACAAATCATGGAAAGTTCAGGCAGCAGTGTGGGAGTGTGGCTTTCAGGAGCTCAACCATCCTCCCTACAGTCCGGATCTGGCTTCTAGTGACTATTTTCTGTTCAGACACTTGAAAAAATGTTTGCGTGGAAAATTTTTTTCATGCAATAAAGAGCTGAAAGTTGCCGTTTCTGATTGGTTTGATGGAGAAGAAGTTGACTTCTATTTCCAGGGAATAAAATCCTTGGAATCAAATTGGAATAAGTGTGTTGAGTTAACTGGTGACTACATTGAAAAATAAAGTGTTATTTTTCCCCTTGGATGTTTTTTTCTATTCAGGTAGATAACTTATTGAGTGACCCTCGTACCTTGGCCTACACGTAGCTACATAAATCGCAAAGAATCAATGGTCCAAGACATATAACAGGATTAGTGGGAAAATCTGGTCGATCAGGCAATTGGACGGTTTAAGAAGGGAATATTGGAAGTCACGTTGGCGAATCTTTAAGGCGTTGTTTGCGGGAAATGCAAGTGACCCGGAGCAATTCGAGTCTGATAATAGTAGCAGCCGTAGCGGTGGTGGCAGACTTATAACAGTCACTAGTGGAGACTTCCAATCTTCTCAAAATGTCTATGGACTCACGCTGAAAGCCATGGAGAAGTAAGTGTAACGTTGGCCTTAGATCTGCGTTGAAGGAAAAGACCAATGAAGCAGCAGTGTTCACACCTCGTGACGTACTCTCCCGTAAAAGGAATGCCCCACCCTTTGACCTTATTCCTCATAGCTCTCAAAAGAGATTCAGATCTTATTTTATAGTTGCATAAAATATTAATTGCAAGAAATTTTCACATAGTTTACGAAGCGTGCTAGATGAAAAGTGCACACTCTTGAATATTGGCAGAAACAATGACGACTGTGTATACGCGATCCTGGTCTCCAGGGTCTCGGACAAAATCAGGTCCCTATATTTCCAATGGGCCTGAAGTAATAGTGAGTCTCGTGGAGACCGAAGAGGGGAGAAATAGGGGGGAGAGAGAGGGGTTGAAGACAGTGGAAAGCCTTTCAGAAATAATTTCCTAACTACTTCATACGGTGTCCCATTTGTTGATTGTGCGACCGTCTGTCGGTGTGGATTAGTTCTGCCGAAGAAAACACAGGCTGACAGGACCTTGAATTGGAACATCGTGGATTTCCATTTGTAATCGTCACGCTTCACATAGGATTACGGCACACTCTTGGAAAAGAGTGAGCGATTTCTTCAAAAAGGGAGCGAAACTGAGAGCCAGCAATTTTGCTCTCTAAAAACGAGGAAGTACAATCGATAAGTACTCCTTTATAGGAGCAGAATCCATAAATATTTCGAGAGCGGAAAACGAAGGAAGTAGAGTACTTCTAAAACTATTATTAAAAAAAGTTAGTGGCTGTTCCCAGGAAAGAGAGAGGTGAGCGGCTGCACTTCCTTGATTTTAGGGAGGAAATTCCCCAACTCCAGTTTCGCTCCCTTTTGAGGAAATCGCTCATTCTTTCTAAGAGTGAAGGGAATTCCGATATATAGCCCTATATATAACCCTATGAAGCAATGATTTCAGTAAGATACCGACAATCTGTGGGTTCGTGATTTTTCATCGTTCAAGCCAAATGAAAAAATGTATGCACATCATAAAGACCCAAGATGATAATGAAAAACCCTCGCAGCATCTCAAGAGAACGGTAACGGGTAGTGCGTTGTACAATTTCACTAATCAATCACCCGTATGTTCAGTTTCGACACTCGTCACCCAAAGGTCTGAGTTAAAGCGTAATCACAGCAATCCGGCTGCCTGAGAAATCACACAGAATAACAAAATGCTCCAAGATGTACCATCCTCCCATCAGGGCTGGAGAGATCCTCTCCGCATGGGACGAGACAGGATATTGCAATTTCCAACCTGCCATACAATCACAAAAATGTGCGCGACTATACTACCTTTTCTTATGATTCGACACGTACCTTTTTAAGTTGCAGTCAAAATCGACATAAAGCAATCGATGGGAAATACGATTTGTGACTAGATCACCGGAGATTAATTGCAGGTTGGCACGGCTGCAGACCAAGTGCCATTCCCATCACACGTCACATTTTCTCTTCCCGACAATCTGAATCCTTCGTTGCAGACGTGCCTCACCGTAGATCCGACCAAATAATTGGTGAACTCTTGGTAGCCGTTTTCGATCCTCGGTAACGGTTTGCAGCTGACGATCATCTGGTTCAACGTGAGGACGGCGTTCTTAAACCCATCTTCATCCTCTTTGGTGCGGTTTGCGAATTCCACACTTCCTGTTGCATCGTAGTCGAAGTAGCAGGCTAGACTACTTCCACACATCGCCTGAATGTTTGCAGGAAATGCTTTTGGGTCCGGTTGCGCCAGAAGCGGTTTGAATTCCGGATGATAGAAGGTCTCGTAGCTTTCCGATGGTCTGTACGTGAAGAAGGACTCGTTCCGCAGAATTCTCCACTTCTCACCAAACTCGTGATGAATCGTGTAGAGGTCTGAAGTCTCCGGAAGTACGATCCCGTCCGGACTCTCTAAGTCGTTTCTTAGATCACCGTCCGCGTTCCCAAGCAGACCTCTCTCGCGGTCCGTAAATACGAGTCCCCCGCGATGCCAAAGATGGACATGGCTCCTTGCGCACGGGTCACGGCGAAAGTCAGGTCGAAGAAGGCGACTCGAAATTTGCCTTCCCGACGTTCATTTGATACGAGCGCAGACCCGATGGAGATTTCTGGTAGATCCTCGTCGAATGCAAACCGAGTGCCGTCGACGAAGAGTCGCATACCGTTTCCATTCACCGAAGACTGAATTTCCAAAATAGGGCCATCTTTGCACTTGAAAGCGATTGCAGAAATCGCTGTGGTCCTTCCGATCTGTTGACTTTGTGGTCGTTGCCGAGGAATCATCCTGACCTGGGCCGAGCATCGGTCGCTCTCGATGAGCCAGTATTCACCGTATCCGTTGAAAGTGTATTCCAGCGAGTCGAAAGTGGTGAAGTGTGGATCGCCACTCCCTCGGAAGGGTCGGGGCGGGACGTATTCCTCCCCGCAGTCCGACGGCCGCCGTTCGAAGTACCTTTCGCAGGCGTCGGTGACTGTTCGCCCTGCATCGTTACAGCACGAGAACCACGGGATGACGTCGTGGATGAAATGCCGGACCGTGTGTCCGTTGGGACTGTATCTGTCGGCCGTCCCTCCACCAGGCGGCTCGCAATAGATCTCGCAGCCTCTGTAGCAGCACTGCTGTCCTCCACCGCTGGGAGATGCATTCCTGCTGCGGTAGCAAGTGTCTGCTCCTGGATGAAATATGCTTATGAAATGGTCGCTACGAACGAACCGCCAATCTGCTTTGGCTTGGGCGAGGGTCGGTGGACACGGCGGAATGTCCGTCGGTATCCCACCGTCGAGACCAGCCCAAACGTGGCATGCTACGTTTGCCAACACCTGGCGTGCCTTTTTCAGGACGAAAGAGATGGCACGAACGGCTAGGAAACGCACGACGGGAAAAACGAAGGAGAGGAAACTCTCTGCGCGCACGTTCGTCGCCCTCATCGAGGACAGAAGCTCTGTTTCTGGTCGTGTCTGAAAAGAGAAGGTGAAGCTGGGCGCAGAAATTTCTTTTGTATAGTTTGCCATCTGCGAGGCATTGAATATATACGTTCCGGTGTTAGGAACGCTCCCGTTGAGTAAGATCCGAGGAAGCCATTCCTCTTTTTCGGGATCCAGAAGATGCAGGTAAAATGCAACGGTCTCACGCGATGGAAAGTCTTTCGGATTCCAACCCAAACGAAGCAGGTCTTCCGAACCATCCACGTCACTCACGTTGAGAGCACTTTTCGGCTCCTGGGTGATGAAAAGAAAAGCGGAATACACAGAGACATTCGCGGCGACGTGGGATATGACCTGGACCTCGGTGCGACCGACGTGGTGAAAAAAAGGCGCCATACAGGCCACCGTATCTGTGGCGACCACGTTGCCCTGCACGACAACGTCTCCTTTCGACCGATCTTTGAAGGTGCAGGTGATGTTTGCATCATCCTCGAAGCAAGGCCCCTTGAACAACACGATCTCGTTGCCGTAGGCCGAAACGTGTCCCGGCTTAGTGATTACCGGTCGACTGTCGAACATTGAACTGTTGCAGCCAGTAGGAGAAATGGTTTTGGCATCGATGCGAAACGCGAACTTGCCCGGATCATCGTAATTAGACATCGATGTCACGTTCTTTACCTCTGCGGTGCACGATTCATTCAAGAGGTAAAAATGTTCCGGGTTTCCATCTCCTGCATCGAACCCGATTCTCGCGTGGAAATCCAACCACCACCGTGCGTCCCGACGGATCGTCCAGTTGACGTTGTTGTAATAAAATATGGCAAACGAGTACTGCGTGTCTGACGTGAGTACAGCCTGAAACGTGTTGTTGCGCGATCTTCCGTATCCG